AGTATTCAAAAATAGTCACACAAGGAATATGGGGACGAATTTTCCACATGTTTTGACTATGTTTGTGTTTTTTTCTGGGGTATTCTTGACTCTTCGCCGAAAATCCGCCTGTAGGGGGGCATGCCCGACCTAAGCCTAATGACAGGTCTAACTACACGCCCATCAAAAATCAAGCGCGTGCCCCGCACCGTGCGAGCCCAAATGGCTACGGAAGAAGACCGGGAGCTCGAGGAGGAGAAGGAAACCTCTTGCCACAGCCGAGCGGGCCGCTGGGCAACGCACAGGGTGTGGCCGGCCTGGGGAGCTCGAGACCCAGAATTTACCCCCGACGTCATGGTTTTTTGGTGGGCTTGTTTCCCACCACCACCACCATCAGTAGTAGGGGGAGGGGGTCCTCCTCTTCCTCCTCCTCCTCCTCCTCCTCCTCCTCCTCGTCCTCCTCCTCATCCTCAGCCTCCTTCCCCCCTCCAACTTATGGAGGTGGTGGTGGAAAACAGGCCCATGATTTTTGTTCACAACATCGGCTCCCGAAGTCTCGGCTCATTCCGCGGGACCGTTTTTTCGTTCTGAGTCGGTGTTTGACTGTCCCGAGGCCTGGTGTTAGGTCGGACATGTCCCCCATACAAGGGAATATTACGTGAAAAAATATAGCACATTCAAACAATGCCCTCAAATAGTCAAACTATTATCAATAAAGAGTCCCCCAAATATGTTTTTGCTTTTATGATCTTTCCTCCTATAGAGGGACAGGGCCGAGGTAAGCCTGGTGAGGTCCCCCAAAGGCCGAAAATAACCAAACACCTGCCGTCGTGATTTGTCATGACTCGAGGGGGCCTGCAGCGTCCTCAGGGACACCTGGAGACCAAAAATGCTGGCTCGCAGAGGTACCTCTTCTGAGCCTCCTGCGTGCCAACTCGCTCGGACGCTGGACGGGCTATCAATCCCAAGACGGTCGTATTCTTGGCTGCGAAGCGGGCTGATACCCGAAGATCCCGCCTGGGAATCTCCTCGCGGCAGGTTCGTGTCGTTCCGTATTCGGCGATGGTTTCTGACACCGCGTGTATCGTTCAACCTTGAACGATCGGCCGTTTCCGAAACGTCGGATTGTTCAACATAAACCGATTCTGGGTCGGGGGCGGCGTTCCACGTTGAACGCCGGCGGAAGGGTCGCCGCCAATCGACACGACGCGAACCTGCCCTGCCTTGCTCCTCTTGAGGGGCCGGTCCACGAGGTGATTGGCCTTGGTTGACCCAAAAGGGGGTCCAGCTGCAAGGGGGTGGTGCAATAGGATTGGGGCAGTTGTATTGCAAATGAACTGCGCCAGAGACTTGTCTTGCATTGTGTTGCAACTGATGTATGGAACGCGAAAACCCAGCAATACACTTGCGTTCCGGAATGTATTGCGCGTCCCAAAGCTATCGCAACCCCACGAATCTACTGCACCAGATATATTGCACCACCCCCTCGTCGCTGGACCCCCGTTTGGGTCAACCAGATTGGTGCTCCGTCCCGCTCCCTCCTGCCCGCTCTCTGACATGCCAATCTGGTCTTCTTCTCGGCTGCGGAACAGGCTGGTGCCCCAAAGCCTCGGCGGGAAGTCTCCTTACCAACTGCTCCTCCTGAGGGGCGGACGGGCAAACCCTTCTGAACGGTGTCTTCTGCGGCGAGCCATCCGGAAAAACGTTCTCCCGGAAGAACTCGTGCGGATGAACTTGTACGGATGAACTCGTCCGGATGGGCTTGTCTGCGGATGATCCCGTCTCTGGATGATCGTCTTCGGATGAACTCATTCCAAACGAATTCGACCACGTAAACTCACCTCGGATGAACTCGTATCGTCTGGATGAAACGATTTCGGACGAAACAGTCAGCTTTCCTCTGGGGGGCTCGTCCAGGAGGTTATTGATATTCCTCCTCGCTCCCTCCTGCCCAGCTTGAGCATGCTCGGCCTCTTGTCATTAACCCCCTTCTTCCCTCTATATCTCATATGTAGAAGGTGCGCAAGAAGATACAACGTATGGTTTTCTGTTTCGCTGGCTATAATTTTCAACTGGTTTCGCATGGATCCGTTGATTTAGTGTAATTGCGATGTCCCAGGTCAACATATACGCTGCTTTGTTTGGGTCGGCTGCCTAATCCGGCAACTGATGTCGGATGTCTGTGTGATGTCATGGGCGACTCTTCGCGCCCATGAGCGTCCCTGATGCAACTATGTGGGCATCCTTACATGATCGCGAAACAACTGTATAGCTTGTCCCACGCAAAATGACACGGGTGGCGTAACCGCATCGCAAATCGAAACGTCCAAACTGGGAGCATCGCACACGGCGACCTGCCATAGGTAAGTTCATGCTATGAGCCGTGGCCCGAACGACAACTCGACAGTGCAGTTAATACAGGAAGGAAAAGGGAGGATAACGAAGAAACAAGGCGGAGGAGGAAGGAAGGGAACGTTCAAACATCTCTAGGAGTGGTATGAGGAGGAGGCAGTCGAGACCGTTGCGAATGTACACACACACACACATCTAATACATATATACACACTATGTGCACACATCTGTATATAGCCATCAATCTATGTATATCGTCTTCGGTTTCGCAATATGTATGGTTCTCCCTGTTTAGCTTCTCTCTCTCTCACTGGCTGGTTGCCTCTCAAGAGACCTCCCTGCTTCCCCACGCGGGCGCCGACGGGGATGTTACTTACGAATACTGCCCGATGACGCGCCCCAAGGCCCGGATTGAACACATCATATCGTCGCATACAGTGAGGTCATTGGATGCGGAACCTTCAAATAAAGAATCCTGGGTCTGGAAGCCGGCGGAACATCAATTGAGGCTTGGCCATGGATACCACCTCCGCCCTCATGAGCTAAGGAATCCTCCAGGGTCTGAAGCCTCCTGGGCATCTTCCTTAACGAACGCCGCCCATGCATCTGGGGCGCGAATTAATGAGGGGGGCGGTAAATGAGCGGGGGGGAGAAAGGCGCCCTTTTCGGACCCTGAAGGCCTTCTTTTGGGCCCTAAAGGGCCCCTTGAGGGACCCTACAGGGCCCCTTTTGTGCAGCCCTCGCTGCCCCCCCATTTATGCATCTGGGCCTGAAGACCGACCCATTAGAGGCAATCTAAATGGGGCCCGAGTGGAGTGGTCGGAGGATCTCGCCGCATAGCCGATACATCGGAGATGCATCGCCCATGCATCTGCGATGCGCTGGCGGCGTCGGCGATGCATCGGCGACGTCGGGGTGGAGAATTGGGCCCCACATCGAGCCGCATCGCCGATGCATCGCCGATGCATCGGCGATGCGGTGCGATCCTCCGACCCCCTCTGCCCCTGGTCGGGCGTTGGCAGAACTGGGTTCAGTGGAACCTGGTTTAGTGATGTGTAGTGGGGGAGGCCCCCCCGCCCCGTTCCACTAACCGGAACTGCCGCCACCCCAAAAACACCAACTACGGCAGACCTGGTTCAGTGATTCTGGCCAATTCAAAGGCCCCGGGGCCCTACCACGAACCGGGTCCCCTTACCTGGGGTCCTGGCTATACCCGACCTGGGCCTGAAGATCCATCGAATAGGCGTAAGAGTGACCCTGGGTAAGAGTGACCTTTGGTGCGCAGCTTTTAGGGGCGCGAGGCAGCGAAACCCAAGGGCGCGGGCCGCTTACATCGCATCGCGCTCGCGATCGGGGGGAGCCGGATGAGCCCGCACCAAAGGTCACTCCGGCGAAGGGTCACTCTTACGTGTAAGTAGTCGAATCCATCCGGCAGGCCGAAGGCTCTCAGCCCACCGGTCCCAGAGCACGGGAGGCGCAGGAGCGCGGCCCCGCCTCCTCGTCCAGCGGCGGGTCGCCGAACGCAGCGGACCTGTGAGGAGGCGACCCCGTTGGGTCACCCAAGCTGGAGGGGCAACGCCACAGCTGGGCTGCTGAAGTAAGGAACGCGAAATAAGGAACGAAGCCCCTCTGCGGCTTGAAAAGAGCCTGGGTGCACGAGAAAGGCTAGAGGAACAACCACGGAAGGACGTAAGGAACATCGAGCCCCTTCCGAATCCAAACCTGCTCCTTATTTCAGCGTCCTGGCTGTAAGGGGGGGGGGGACAGGCTCAGTGGGGGGAGCGAAATTTTCAGGCTCGAGATGTGTTCGTAAGCTTTTGTCGGTTCTCGGCGGCTCCCCAGCCTCGGGATACCTACCTTGCGGCGGCTGCACCTCGCCGAGGAGCGCTCCCGGCGGTTCCCGATCGTCCCGAACGGCCACCGGAGGCTTGAGTTATGACCCGGTAACCAGCAGGAGACCAGCTGAGGGGGGGAATCATCGACCTGGAATTGTCATTGCACCGGCCTTGCAGACGTGCCGCAGCGGACTTCTGCGTGGATTTCTGCGTGGATGTTTGCCCGAAGCGGCGAGCGAAAAACGAAGTGAATCTCGCGTGGATCCTTATTGGTCTTCGTTCCTGGCAACAACAAAAAACGGACGAAACTCACCTCGAGATCTGGACCCGATATCGCAGGCCCACGCGGTGCTCGGCCGGGAGGGCCCTCCCCAGACCCCCTCGAGTAATGAAAAAATCACGACGGGAAATTTTCAAGATTTTCGGCCCCTGGGGGCCCTTACTGGGCCTCGGGACCGTCGAAAAACGACTCGGGATGACGAACCGGTCCGCGGGGAAAGGGTTCAGACCTCTGGGGGTCGACGTTATGAAAAAATCATGACGTCTGGGGTCTGGGTCTTCTGCTTCCCTTATCAAGCGTGGGGGGGCACACGTCGCGGGGGGCGCCACGCTGGCGAAAATCATCCCAGGGCCTACCCTTCGCGCCGGCGAACAAATACGTCGCCCAAGCGCCGGCGAAAACGATGCACCATCTCAGGGTCGCCAATGACATGGTGAACACAATGAATATGTGAGAATGGTGATGGTTATGACGATGTTGATGGTGAAGACGATCACACGATCATGAGGATGATGGTGAGAAGATGAGAACGGTTCTGCCAGATGCGGTGAATGGACCGTATTGGACAGATAACGATAAAGCTGATGATAATGATGGTTGTAGCAATGACGATGGTGATGATGCGCATCCCAATAACCGTCAATGTTGCAAATGATATGTATTCATAGGCGCCGGCGAAAATTAAGCCGCCATCTCGCGAGGGCCGGCGAAACATGTTCTTCGGGGCCCAACGCCAGCGAAAATTATATTGGTGCCCAGAAGTGCGCGCTGTGAAAATTACACCACCCACGTTTAATAAAGGAAAGAAAATATCGGTTATCAATGGGCGAGTGGGAGTCGATGCGCCCCTCCTGAACCTATGCCCCCCTACTGCGGGCAAGACTCGCGTCCACGTCCACTGCAGCTTGGAGTGTCGGGCTCCCTACCCCCTAGAAACCCGAGGCGCACTGGACGTGGATGCAGACCTGGCCCTCTAGAGGCTCGATGCTCATCCGCATCCAGTGCGCCTCGCTCTTGGGGCGCTCCTTCCAAGAAAGCTGAAGACGCACTGGACAGGGATAACAAATCTCGCCCGCACCGAACGCTGCCCCTGACAATTCGCTGCTATTCCCTCGAGGGAGGAAGAGGGGGAGGCCAGCCAAGCTTAGGTCGGGCATGCCCCCCTACAGGGGAATGTTTGACGAAACAATGTTTTTAAACATAAAACTCCAACAATATTCAAACATTGTCACATCAATCATTGTCAAACATTGAATATTCCTCCTGTAGAGGGACAAGCCCGACTTAAGGCTAAGCGTAGGAGCGCCCCTGGGCTAGAGTGCCGTTTGGTGCGCGGCTTCGGACGACCGAGAAGAGGGGGAGGGTCCAGATTGAAGGGGCCCAGGAACACACAGATAACTAAACACAACCCCCAGGATTCCCAATCTGTTTCAACATGTTCTAGAGTTTCGTCTTCCCTCAAATTCCCATGTGTTCCTATATGTTCTGGGGCCTCGGCGTTTATCTGTGTCTGAGCCTACTCTTCCCTCCTGGCACACGCAAGACCACTCCAGCGAATGGTCGCTCGTACCCATCGGTCGGAGGGAGTGGATCGAGACTTGAAGCAGGGAGGCGTTGACCACATATTGGGTTCCTGCCCGCCCCCGAAGTTCGAAGGAGAAGGGACAACTACAAACCTCGTCAAAAATAAACAAACAAAGTTGGAAATCACGACGATCGATCTTCTCGGGCACTTGTTAGAAACTGCGTTCATCAATGCTGCGGAGGGGTCGTCGGATTTTTGAAGCCCTTGCGTCCACGTCAGATATCTAGCGTCAGCATTGGAGTAGCGCTGACCATACAATCACCGAGAACAGAATCCCTCAGTCCCACCAGCCCTTTGGGCGTGAGTGGTTTAGCGAGCTCTCTCTGTTCTCAACCCCCCTTCTTCCCCTTCGGCGAGGGGTTTACCCCTCCCCCTCCCCCCTCCCCCTGGACCTGGAGAGGTCCCTCCGCGGGTGGCCAGCGGGGTCTTTTTCGACTCCTGGGAGGGCTAAAATTCGACACCCCTCACGAGGATTCTGGCCCCGACGGGGGGAAGCAAAAAAATGTTCCCCTCTTCTTTGAAGCCAAAACCATTGATTTTACTACGGTTTTGGCCCCATTTTGGCCTTCTGCGGGGGCAGCGCTAATTCAAGCTCCCCTCTTCTGTCAAGCCAAAATCATTGATTTTACAACGGTTTTGGCCCCATTTTGCCCTTCTGAGGGGGCAGCGCTAATTAAAGCTCCCCTCTTCTTTGATCGATTTCCTCCAAGATGGCCCCAAGAAGCGCCCAGGAGGCACCAAGAGGCCCCAAGATGGCCCCAAGAGGCCCCCAGGAGGCCCCCAAGAGGCCTCCAAGAGGCCCCCAAGATGCCCCCAAGAGGCCCCCAAGAGGCCCCAAGAGGCTCCCCCGAGGCACCCAAGACGCTCCTGGAAGCCCCTGGGGCCGCCAAGAGGCCCCCAAGACGCCCCAAACGGCCTCCAAGAGGCTCCCAAGAGGCCCGAAGAGGCTCCCCCAAGGCACCCAAGACGCTCCTAGAAGCCCCTGGGGCCGCCAAGAGGCCCCCAAGACGCCCCAAAAGGCCTCCAAGAGGCTCCCAAAAGACATCTACTACTACTACTACTACTACTACTACTACTACTACTACTACTACTACTACTACTACTACTACTACTACTACTACTACTACTACTACTACTACTACTACTACTACTACTACTACTACTACTACTACTACTACTACTACTACACTACGACTACGACTACGACTACGACTACGACTACGACTACGACTACGACTACGACTACGACTACGACTACGACTACGACTACGACTACGACTACGACTACGACTACGACTACGACTACGACTACGACTACTACTACTACTACGACTACTACTACTACTACTACTACTACTACTACTACTACTACTACTACTACTACTACTACTACTACTACTACTACTACTACTACTACTACTACTACTACTACTACTACTACTACTACTACTACTACTACTACTACTACTACTACTACTACTACTACTACTACTACTACTACTACTACTACTACTACTACTACTACTACTACTACTACTACTACTACTACTACTACTACTACTACTACTACTACTACTACTACTACTACTACGAGGGGCCCGAACGACTTGCACCAGGACGAGGTGCCCGAACGCCTCGCGCCACGAGGAGCCCGAACGACTCACACCAGGACGAGGGGCCCGAACGACTCACACCACGAAGAGCCCGAACGACTCACACCAGAAGGAGGGGCCCGAACGACTCACACCAGGACGAGGCGCCCGAACGACTCACACCACGAGGAGCCCGAACGACTCACACCACGACGAGGGCCCCGAACGACTCACACCACGAGGAGCCCGAACGAGTCACACCAGGAGGAGGGGCCCGAACGACTCACACCAGGACGAGGGGCCCGAACAACTCACACCACGAGAAGCCCGAACGACTCACACCAGGACGAAGAGCCCGAACGACTCACACCACGAAGAGCCCGAACGACTCACACCAGGAAGAAGGGCCCGAACGACTCACACCAGGACGAGAAACCCCAAACGACTCAAACCACGAGGAGCGCTTTCTCTCCCTCCTCCTCCGCCTCGTCCTTCTCCCGCTCCCACCACAAGGAGGATGTACAAGGAGGCGGGAGGAAGGAGGAACAGGGGAGATATGCGGGGGCAGGCGGAAACACGCCTGAAAAACACGACTGTCGGCATGCTTCGCAAGAGTTGCTGTTTTGAGATGGGCTGGTGGGGATACGCGAAGCGTGAAGAATTTATTTTTGACGAGGGTTGTAGTTACTCGATGACTGAAGCAGGGAAGGCGCCCAGCGCAGGCTGGGACCGGGGAGTCCACGAGGACCCGCCCCCAGGGACAGGGGAGGGGCGGCCGCTGAGCATGGAGGAGGCGGCAGGAGGAGGCCGGCAGGGGCACCCCGAGCAGAGGAAGAAAAAACCGCCAGGAACATAAACTTTCTCCTCCTCCTCCTCCTCCTTCTCCTCCACCTCCTCCTCCTCCTCCTCCTCCGCTTCCTCCGCCTCCTCCTCCTCCTCCACCTCCTTCTCCTCCTCCTCCTCTTCCTCCCCCTCCTCCTCCTCCTCGCCGCCGATCCTCTGCGGCCGCCCTCCTCTCTGTCCGCCTGCCCCGGCGTGCCCGCAGCCCGGCGCGCAGAGCGCGCCAGGGGCGGCGCCGGAGGCGCCGCCGGGGGGGCCCAGCGCGGATCCGAGAAATCCCAAAAAATCCGCGCGGAGCGCCGGGGGGATCCAAGAAAGCCGCGCGGAGCGCCAACAAGTTTATGTTTGTGGCGTTTTTTCCTTCTAGAGGAGCGAGAGTGAGCAGGCCTCAGCGCGGGGGCCCAGCGCGGATCCAAGAAATCCGCGCGGAGCGTCAAGAGCTTCTGCTCGCGTCGTGTGTTCTTCTGCGGCCGAGGCCCTCGGCCGCGACCCCGAGGGTGCCGCCGATGGCGGAGGGCGGCGCCGGCTGGAGCGGAGCGGGGGAGGCTCAAGGCCGCCATGGTGCGGCGCCTCCCCGCGAGGCGCGGGAGAGGCGGCGGCGGCGGCGGGGGGGGGGAGCGGGGGCCGCCGTCGTGCGGCGCGCCCTCCGGGGAGGCGGAGGAAAGAGCCGGGGGAGGGCCCGCCTCTGCAGGCCCGTGCTCTGCGCGTGACCTCCACTCTCAGCGGCGGAGGGGCACTCCGAGCTTCTCGAGGAGCGTCGGGGGGGCGCCACCCCCGCCGACAGCCCAACATCGACCCCCGTCGCGGGCAGCCACCGCGCGCCGAAGGCGCTCCGACCCCCGTCGCGGCGCGACGACGAGGCGAGGTTGACCCCCGTCGGCCCGACGAGGGTCAAACCCAGGCTCATGAAGAAACCCAGAGTACGCGTGCCGAGAACGGGAGGGAACGCGCGCTCGCAGGCCGGTACTCGGGGTAACTCTGTGGGCCCACACCCGAGGCCACTCCTGCGAAGGGTCACTCTTGCGAGGCGAGGACTGACTCATCCAGAAGTGCCCACCTCCCGGGGGTCCGAAGTCCTGGGACCCCAACATTTGATAAATCGATAAATTTGGACGGGGCTGGGTATCGAAGGAGGGGGGTGGATATCGGTAAATTTGGACCCCCTGGGGCCCACACCTTTTGCATATCCACCGCCTGCCGAGGCTCCCGAATGTCGACCCCCCAGGCGGTGGTAGTCCCCGCCTCGGGGCTCTCACGCGTAGACGAGAAGGAGGGGGGAAGGTGAGGAGCAGCGAGTGCATCACCGCCGCCCAGCGGACCACGTGTGCACCCGCACCCGCAGCTCCCCCGCGGCGCCCCTGTACTTCAGCACGCACTGGACACTCGACCCGGCCTCCCAAAACCGGCCCCTGGCACTGCAGCACTGTTCCCCCCCCGTTGATTTCCTGCTCTTCCTCTGAAGGGAGGCGAGGGCGAGGGGCGAGCAGGAGGGAGAGGATGAGGCAAGCGGAGGAGCGAGGAACGCGGAGGGAGGAGGGGACGAGCCGATGGCAGGGAGGAGAAGAAGAATGAGGAGGGGCGTCAAGGAACGAAGAAGCTCACCTGCTCCTCCTCCTCCTCATCCTCCTGACCCTCTCCCTTCCTCACCATTCCTCCCTCCTGCTCCTCCCCCCATCAGCTATCTTCCTGCATTCTCCCGTTTCCTCCTCATCATTCGTTCCCCCGTTTACATGTGCTTATCTCTCTCATGTTGAGGTTGCTGCACCCTCAAGGTCACCGTCCTTAACTCAACATTCATTGCCTGTTTGGTGCCCACACGCCGCCGACGAGCAAAAGTGTGTGTGTGTGTGTGTGTGTGTGTGTCTGTGTGTCTGTGTGTCTGTGTGTGTGCGTGCGTGCGTGTGTGTGTGTGTGTGTGTGCGTGCTGTGTGTGACCAAGCGTAGCGCATTGCGACGGTGTGTGTGTGTGTGTGTGTGCAGCGGCTCGAGGACCTGGCAGCTAGTCGCGCGCGCGCGTGCTCTATTTCGACTTTGGACGCCCTGTCGCAGCGCGCGGGGCCGCGACGCCGAAGAAATGTGTGTATACAGGTGCGCGTGTGTGTGTGTGTTTATGTGTGTGTGTGTGTTTGTGTATGTGCGTCTGTGCGTGTGCTACGTTCACTGTCGGCTGCCGCTCCACCCTGCCCCACCCTCGCTGCCAGTGCCCGTGTATGCGCATGGCGTGAATGATACCTTTTGGACCGGCCGCGCGCGCTGCTGTGTGCATCCGGCCAGCGCGCACTCTGGCTCGGATTTCGGCAACATTACTTGACTCGCTCCGCGTCGTCGCCAAGCGCGAGGCCGCGACCAACAAAAAGTGTGTGTGTGTGTGTGTCTGTGTGTGTCTGTGTGTGTCTGTGTGTCACTGTGTGTGTCTGTGTGTGTCTGTGTGTGTCTGTGTGTGTCTGTGTGTGTCTGTGTGTGTCTGTGTCTGTGTGTGTCTGTGTGTGTCTGTGTGTGTGTCTGTGTGTGTGTGTCTGTGTGTGTGTGTCTGTGTGTGTGTGTCTGTGTGTGTCTGTGGGTGTCTGTGGGTGTCTGTGGGTGTCTGTGTGCGTCTGTGTGTGTCTGTGTGTGTGTCTGTGTGTGTGTCTGTGTGTGTGTCTGTGTGTGTGTCTGTGTGTGTCAGTGTGTATGTGTGTGTGTGTCTGTGTGTGTCTGTGTGTGTCTGTGTGTGTCTGTGTGTGTCTGTGTGTGTCTGTGTGTGTGTGTCTGTGTGTGTCTGTGTGTCTCTGTGTGTGTCTGTGTGTGTCTCTGTGTGTGTCTCTGTGTGTGTATGTGCGTGTCTGTGTGTGTCTGTGTGTGTCTGTGTGTGTGTCTGTGTGTGTCTGTGTGTGTATGTGTGTGTCTGTGTGTGTCTCTGTGTCTCTGCGTGTCTGTGCGTGTCTCTGTGTGTGTGTCTGTGTGTGTCTGTGTGTGTCTGTGTGTGTCTGTGTGTGTCTGTGTGTCTCTGTGTGTGTCTCTGTGTGTGTCTCTGTGTGTGTCTCTGTGTCTCTGTGAATCTGTGTGTGTCTGTGTGTGTCTCTGTGTGTGTCTCTGTATGTGTCTGTGTGTGTGTCTGTGTGTGTGTGTGTCTGTGTGTGTCTCTGTGTGTGTCTCTGTGTGTGTGTGTCTCTGTGTGTGTGTGTCTCTGTGTGTGTCTCTGTGTGTGTCTCTGTGTGTGTCTCTGTGTGTGTCTGTGTGTGTGTGTCTGTGTGTGAGTCTGTGTTTGTGTGTCTGCGTGTGTGTCTGTGTGTGTCTGTGTGTGTGTCTGTGTGTGTCTGTGTGTGTCTGTGTGTGTCTGTCTGTGTGTGTCTCTGTGTGTCTGTCTGTGTGTGTGTCTGTGTGTGTGTCTGTGTGTGTCTGTGTGTGTCTGTGTGTGTCTGTGTGTGTGTCTGTGTGTGTCTGTGTCTGTGTGTGTGCCTGTGTGTGCCTGTGTGTGCCTGTGCGTGCGTGTGTGCGTGTGTGCGTGTGTGCGTGTGTGTGTGTGTGTGTGCGTGTGTGTGTGTTGTGCGTGTGTGCGTGTGTGCGTGTGTGTGTGTGCGTGTGTGTGGTGCGTGTGTGCGGTGCGTGCGGGTGTGCTGTGTGCGTGTGTGCGTGTGTGCGTGTGTCGTGTGTGCGTGCGTGTGCGTGTGGCGTGCGCGTGTGTGCGTGTGTGCGTGTGTGCGGGTGTGCGTGTGTGCGTGTGTGCGCGTGTGTAGTGTGCGCGTGCGCGCGTGTGCGTGTGCGCGTGTGCGTGTGCGCGTGTGCGCGTGTGCGCGTGTGCGCGTGTGCGCGTGTGCGCGTGTGCGCGTGTGCGCGTGTGTGCGTGTGTGCGTGTGTGCGTGTGTGTGTGTGCGTGTGTGCGTGTGGTGTGTGCGTGTGCGTGTGTGCGTGTGTGCGTGTGTGCGTGTGTGCGTGTGTGCGTGTGTGCGTGTGTGCGTGTGCGTGTGTGCGTGTGTGCGCGTGTGCGAGTGTGCGTGTGCGCGTGTGCGCGTGTGCGCGTGTGCGCGTGTGCGCGTGTGCGCGTGTGCGCGTGTGCGCGTGTGCGCGTGTGTGCGTGTGTGTGCGCGTGTGCGCGTGTGCGCGTGTGTGCGTGTGTGCGTGTGTGCGTGTGTGCGTGTGCGTGCGTGTGTGCGTGTGTGCGTGTGTGCGTGTGTGCGTGTGTGCGTGTGTGCGTGTGTGCGTGTGTGCGTGTGTGCGTGTGTGCGTGTGTGCGTGTGTGCGTGTGTGCGTGTGTGCGTGTGTGCGTGTGCGCGTGTGCGCGTGTGCGCGTGTGTGCGTGTGCGCGTGTGCGCGTGTGCGCGTGTGCGCGTGTGCGCGTGTGCGCGTGTGCGCGTGTGCGCGTGTGCACGTGTGCGCGTGTGCGCGTGTGCGCGTGTGCGCGTGTGCGCGTGTGCGCGTGTGCGCGTGTGCGCGTGTGCGCGTGTGCGCGTGCGCGCGTGCGCGTGTGCGCGTGTGCGCGTGTGTGCGTGTGCGCGTGTGCGCGTGTGCGCGTGTGCGCGTGTGCGCGTGTGCGCGCGCGTGCGCGTGCGCGTGTGCGTGTGCGTGTGCGTGTGCGTGTGCGTGTGCGTGTGCGTGTGCGTGCGCGTGTGCGTGTGCGTGTGCGTGTGCGTGTGCGTGTGCGTGTGCGCCTGCGCGTGCATGTGCGTGTGCGTGTGCGTGTGCGTGTGCGTGTGCGTGTGCGTGTGTGTGTGTGTGTGTGTGTGCGAGTGTGTGCGCGTGTGTGTATGTTTGTGGGCGCACGCTGTTCGTACAAGCTCTCTCTTCCCTGCGCCGGTTGGCGCTGCGTGGTCGTGCATGCCACCTTTTTGCTCTGGGCCCATAGGGTCCCGTCGACAATACTTGGTGGTCACTCTCAGTAGCGGCCTCGCTAATCTATCGCTGTGTGTGCCCGTGTGTGTGTGTGTGTGCATCCGTGGGGCCCGCTTTGGGAGGCCTGGAGATCAAGGGCGGCGTGCCGCTGCCAGGGCCTGCGCCACCAAGCTCATCGCTGGCCTCGGGGGCGGCACGGCAGCTGGGGCCGTGGGCAGATGGGGCGCCGTGGAGGAGGTCCCAGCGCCGGCTGCCCGAAAGGGTGACCCTGGGCAATAGTGACCTTTGGTGCGCGGCCCCAGGGGGCCGCGGGCCAGACCCAAGCGCGCAGGCCGCTGCTGTCACATCGCACTTGCAGTCGGGGGATCCTGGTGGGCTCGTGAGGGTCACTCCAGCGAGGGGTCGCTCCTACGTGCAGTCCATCGTGTCGGCGGCGGCAGCACGGCGTGGGGACACAGTGGCAGCAGACGTGGAACTCTCCGACGAGGCTGGCGCACAGCGTGCTCGGACGAGCCAGACGCCCAATGGAATGAACACATGCGATGCGGCATCATGTTGTAAGGGATACACGGGCACATCATTCGTCGATCTCAGAGGGTCCTAAGGTGCCCCGAAACTTCTGCGGGTCCTAGAGGCCACCGGAAATCGAAACAAATTGGGAGGGACATCTGCTTCCAGGCTAGCTTTTCCTTGACGTGCCCAATATAAGTGCATAACGACCAATGTGCAGACCACAAAGGGCAGTCTGGGCTAAAAGATGAGGAGTGTGACCCGGCAACACGCCCCAGCAAACAAACAATTCGACGCAATGAAAAGTATATTAAATACTCAAAAGCCTGCCCAGTGTACTCGTGACCCACAACCGGGAGCGCAGGATCTTAGTTTGCAATGTGACTGTCTTAGAGCTGTCCGCCCAGGCCATGAGCTTCGAGCGACGAATTACCCATGGACTCGTGCGAAACAGAGGGGAGCAGAATAGACACGCGCGGCGCTTCCTGGTGAGCTATATGGAATCAGTGGGCAGACTCGGAAGGACACATGCCTGCCGACAACGCACCCCGCCCTGGATTTTCTGAATGTTCGCCTCCAGCCACAAAATGGACAGAATCGCGCTCGCGCCTGTAAATCAGACGCAACAACTAAGAACCACGATGAGAGGCGCACAAGAGACAATATTGAAATGCTAGATGAAACAACACGAACGAGCGGGACACAGAGCTCGTCCACATCATCAACACTGTTAACAAACCGATCGTCAAACCCACATTGCCATAATCTCCATGCGGCCTACATACAATGCGGAGCTGGCGGCAACAACAGATGCGTGGGCATGGATAGGCACATAACCATGTTGAGCATGAGGAGGAGGAGGAGGAAGCGGGGGGGGGGACCCAAACATCCGACGTCGTGCTTTCTCACGTCGTGATTGGCTCCTCGGAGATCCGAACCCCTTCCAGGGGACCAGCTGCTCGTCCTGAATAGTTTTGATGCTGCTGTCGGGGCCACCGTACGCCGAAAGCTTCCAAGAACCTCCCATCCTGTATTTGGTTGGCGACGCGAGAAACGACAGGGGATATGTGGAGGGGCGGCCTTCCTGACCTCCACGGCGAAAGTCTGCTCGGCGTGGCAGTTCGGCAGGACGGCGAGCCCCGGCTTCTTCGAGGCAGGGGGCACCGCGCCGAGCAGCCGCCCCTGCTCCGTGGTGCTGCAGCTGCCGGCCCCCTCCGATCTGCAGGGAGCTGCGGGAGGTGTGATGGACGGGTCAGACGTCTTGTTGGACGGACCTCTCAAGCTCTCCGCCGTCTCGAGCGGTATGCGATCGGAGCTGGAACACGGCAAAGCCACGGGAAAGCGTGGCATTCACGATGCCGCCCCGCGCATGTGTCACGTGCTCCGGCGAGCAAAAGCACCGCAAAGTCCCCCAGCAGCGATGCATTGACAACGTAGCTGATCATCAACACGTGCGCCGAACTACACTGTCAATGCCACTCTCTCCTGCCAGCGTCACTACCGGGATGAATCGCTCCAGAACGTTCTGGCTGTGGCGCCCGATACATCCCTCAGAGACGCCAGATCTCAGAGGTTCGAAATGTATCACAATCCGACTTTGTCCCGATCATGCATCCGTTTGGATAGAGGATAGAGCAGGGGGTAGAGAATGGGGTTCGGGTTGGGAGAGGGGCGAGCTTGAGGGCGGGATGCGACAAGAGGCAAGTGATGTGACAAGGGGGATCAGGGGCGGGGGAAAGGGAAGCAGATGGGGGTGAATGAGGGGAAGATAAGGGGAAAGATCGCCGCTCAGCCACCTCAAAGTGGTGATCTGTGAAGCGTGCCGTCCTTGAGAGATGGCAGCGACAAATGCTGGGACCCAGGTGTCCGGGCAGGGAGTCCATAAGCCGCTCATGTGACAGCCTGTCTGGTGCCTTCCACACAAGATGGTAAACTTCGTCATACCATACCTGCGCGGCTCTCGTGGAAGCTGGATGCAATACTTTGGCTCGTTGTCGCGTGCGGGGGCCCGTGCTCATTGTGCAGTGCCGGAGGTAACCCTACACCCAGACAGCAGCACTCGGGTCTCGGCGTTCTGCCCCTCCGCGCAGGCCGAGGGAGATCCGCACAATCGAGAGGTGGGAGTGCACCAGAGCCAGAAGCAGCCCACCTGCAGTTCGCCTAGTGTCATCCCAGTGTCCTGAGGAAACCCAGACGGAGGGTCCTGCTCGCAGGACCCTTACGAGCAAGCCCTCCGCCGGGTGCAGGATAATGCTGAAGGGTGCTCGGTGGTTTGCACAGGTGGGCCCCCGCCACGCACCATGGGGGCGACACCAGGGTCTGGCTGAAGGACGTAAACGTTGGCTGCGCCGAGGGGCGGTCCTTGTGACCTTCCCAGCCCAGCGCGAGCTGGGGGGAGCTGGGGTCTCGGCGTTCTGCCTCTCCACACAGGCCGAGGGAGATCCGCACAATCGAGAGGTGGGAGTGCACCGGAGCCAGAGCCAGCCCACCTGCAGTTCGCCGGATAGAGTTTAACATCCCTGTGTCGTGAGGTGGAACAGACGGAGGAACCTGCGGGTGTGGCTCGCGGGACCCTTCTGAGTAGTCCCTCCGTCGGGTGCAGGATAATGCTTCAGGTCGGTGGGCGGGACACGGTAGCTGTGCTGGAGGGGTGGTCCAAAGAGACCTTTCTCGCCCCCGCGCAGATGGAGGGGGAGCTGGGAGGGTAGGGACAGGAAAGAGGTGCAAGGGGGACGGGAGCAACGGAAAAGGTATTGCGGGGCATGGTGGGAGGAGAGGGCAGGTGGAGGGAGAGGGCCGGGAGGGATGGCCCAGCCATCCCGCGCTTCGTTTTTCCAAGGCATGGGCCCCCCCCCCGGACCTCCCCGGGGCTGGCCTTTTCATCCCGAGCTGTCTCCTGAAGTCCCCGGGGGCCCGAGAACCAGCCTCCGAAGGGCAAACAAGCGGTGACGACCCGGCCGCCTTGGCTTCTTCGAGGCGGCGGATGCCTGGGATGGCAGGGCGAGAGGGAAAGTCAGGGGGGGGGGGGGACTGGCTCGATGGGGGGGGGGGAGGCGCATCGACCTGGAACCGGCGATGCCTCGTCGACAGATCGGCGCGCTGCGCCCCCGGCTGCGAAGCCGCACCCTCCTGGGCGGGGGGGGCAAGCGGGCCCTTCTCCGCGATCCATGGGCGGGTTGGGGCTCGACGCATCCCCCCCCGCCCCCCTGGGCTTCGGTCGGGCACGTCCCCCTACAGGCGGATTCTGAAAGGAGCAATGAAATAAATGATCAACAAGTGCTAGGCATGGCCAAAAATAGTCGTAGAATCGTCCCCGGACTATTCTTTTAGTATCATTTGTCTTGAGTGTTCTTCCTGTAGAGGGACATGCCCGACTTAACCCTGAGCCTATCCCCAAATACCGTTGCCCCTGAGATCGGGGCGGGTTCGGGGGCGCGCAAACATGGATTAGCGATCCATGGATTTGGCGCGCGGTCGCCAAATCCATGGATCGCGGGAGGTGCCCTCCCCAAGATGCGGCCTGTGTCGCCTCGTTCGGCGGCGGAAATCCGCGATTTCCCATGAAAACGGGACCCGTCGCTAATCCACGCCCCCTCAATCCATGTCTGCGACCGCCTGACGGGTGAGGCGGGCCCGAAGAGGAGAGGGGGCCCAGCTTAGGCGCGCTTGGGCACTCCAGAGATGAGGACGGGGCTGGGGCCGCGGCGCAGGCTGCGAG